CTGAGCTGGCGGTGACGTCGGGCGTGGGGACCCGCCCAGGGCTCTCCAGGGTCTGCACCCCGCTGAAGCAGCTGTAGATGCCCTGTAGAGAGAGGAGAGGACCCCCACCCTCAGTGGTCCTGCATCCACAAACCCGCCACATCAAGCCCAGATGCTGCTGCTGGGGCGTCTTGACGGCACTGACGTCCCCTCCCCAGCATCCCCAGTGCTGACACCATCCTACATCACTCCTTTCCCCAGGGATGTTCTGGGTCATTCCCAGGGCTGATCCCTTTCCCAAAAAACCCACCTGTTCTCCCCCATCAGCATGAGCATCTACAGTCCCTCCCGTGAGGGTGGGAGGGATGATGACCAGAAGGCCATGCCCATCCCCGTGACACCGAGGGAGGACATTTGGGCCCATCAAGATTCACTGGCAGCTTCACTCACCCTGCTGATGGCCAGGAGGAAGTCAAGCTTGTGGGACTTGGGGACAGAGTGACGCAGCTTCCAGTAGACGAGGTGCTCCCAGGCAAAGACCAGCAGGCTCAGCCCCATGGCCACCAGCAGCATGTAGAAAACCCCAGCCATGTTGTCGATGTCCAGCTTGCTGCTCATCACCTCATTCTTCTCGTTCTGGCAGATCCCTGACAGCCAAACTGTCTCCAGCTTCTGGGTCTCACCTGGGGCCAGGCACACACAGCAGTTGGAGGGAGGAGCTGTGTGAAAATTCCCCCCTTGGGCATCATCTCCCCAAGGCCAACCCTTGCCCATCCCCACCCCTCTGTAGCTGAAGGAGAAGAAAACCACCCTAAGCTGCTGGAACTGTTACCAGCTCGGCCCTGTCTGCTGCCTTGGCCTGAACATCTCACCAGTCACTAATCCTTCTCCAGAGCCCTCTCCTGTCTCTGTCCCCCACCCATGTCCCAGCCTGACAGTCTCACTGTTCCCTTCCCAGGCTTCTCTTGACCCACAGATTTTGTGCATGGCCATCTCCAGGGTTTTACAGCCTGCAAGAAGAGGAGGGCCCCTGGAGGGAATGAGCCCCCAGCACTCAGCTGGAAAGATGCTGCTGCCTTTAATGTCACCTCAGACGGGCTGCTGGAGAAGCCCATCTGACCCAACCCCTCAGTGACACCCTTCAACCAGCCATGGAGGCTGAGCAGTGCCTGGGGCCCAAAGCCACCTCGGGAAGGAACATACAGTAAAACCTGATCCCTGGGGTTAACCTGCAGGGGAGGGGCGAGGTGAGGAGGGGGACAGGGCTAATGAGAAGCTCCTCCAGGCACCCACCATCCCCCAGGAACTGGAGCAGGGCCAGGTCGATGGCCCTTTTCCAGCGCGAGTCCTTCTGCAGGGCGATGCCGTAGCCCGTGGTGGCGAACACCTTCCCGCTGCCGATGGTCACCAGCTTGCAGCCCTCGTCCTTGCCTGCCATGTAGTTGAGCACGGCCGCGTCGTAGATGAAGGCATCCAGCTTCCTGCCCCGAAACCAGGAGGGAAGGTGAGGAGGGGGCCCAGAAGACCTTTTCTGGGGGAGGTGTACCCGTTCCGTGGGGAGCTGTCCCCTTTTCGGGGAGCTGCAGCCCAGCTGGTGGGAGCTGAGTCCTTCTCTGGGGGATCTCTGCCCCATCCTAGAAAGCCATAACCCCACTTGGGGAAGGGGGGAAACATGCAATGGGGGGTTTTTTTTGCTCCCCCTTGTGGGGGAGCCATACTCCATCTAGGAGGGGCTACATCCCTTTTTTGGGGCAGTCTTCATCCCTTTGGGATGAAGCTTTACCCCATCTGCAGGGGGTTGTACCCTCTTTGGGGGAGCCCATACTCCACAAAGGGAAGCTGCAGAGAGCCATATCCCATCTGGGAGAGCTGTACCCAGTCTGGGGACCTCATACCTCACTTGAGAGGGGGCTGCCCCCCGCTGAGGAAGCCCTGCCCCATCTGAGAGGTTCTGCACCCCATCCCAGGGAGCTGCAGCTCATTTGGGGGCTCCTTTATCCCATTTGGAGGAGCTGAACCCCAGCTCTGGGATCCATACCCCATTTGGGGGAGGCCATAGCCCTGACCCGGCTGAGCTGTACCCCCATCTGGGGTGGGCCTTACCCCATTTTGAGGCTGGTGAGGGCATCCTCCACGGAGCGCTGGTTGTACTTCACCATGTGGGTGTGCATGTCGGGGTAGTTGCTGCGGATGTTCCTCTCGGTGCTGCCGTTGGGGACGGTGCCGAAGCGGAAGGGTGGGTACTGCTCCAGTGGCTTCTGGAACTGCAACGGGGGGCTCCACGTCCCTGCTGTGTCCCCAGCACATGCCCCCTCCCCACAGCCAGCCCTGCAGCCATGTCCAGCCAGCCAGCAGGGACATACAGCCCTCCCAGAGTCCTCCTCACCCTCCCCACCCCCCCCAAATAATCCCTTATTCTTGTTTTTTAAGCCTCAGCCCCACCTTCCTGTCGCTCAGCCCCGACACGGTGTCGATGTACTGCTCCTGGATCATGAAGGCAGCCAGGTTGGCCGTGTAGCTGGCGAGGAAGATGACGGCAAAGAAGGCCCAGATGAGCACCATGATTTTGCTGGTGGTGCCCTTGGGGTTCTCAATGGGCACCGAGTTATTGAAGACCAGAGCCCACAGCAGCCACACCGACTTGCCAATGGTGAAGGTGGGACCTCCCGGCCCTGTGGGGATGGAGAGGACAGCCATTAGCACAGCCAGGGGGGTGTGTGTGCCCCACTCACAGTTCCCACCTCCCCACGACTCACTCTTGCCGCTGGTGAGGTTCTGGTTGTACCCAACGGGGCTGAAATACTCGAACACGAAGACAGTGATGGCCACCACGGTGAGGCACATCACGAACATCATGACCCACACGGCAGGGCTGTAGGGCTCTGAAAGGCAAGTGGGACCCTGTCAGCCCCCTCACAGCTGTCTAGGGACCCCCAGAACCCTCCCTGCTGGATGGGCTCATCCTCCTGAGAACTGCCTCTCCTCAGAGGGAAGATGGGAACCAGCAGCACCACAGCCGAGAAGATCCACAGGACCTCAGAAGGGAAGGGGAATGCTGTGAGACAGGGGGACGTGGCTGGCTTCCCTGCCTGAATAAAATCAGGCTTTCATCAGTGGGGAGATGCTAATGAGACACTGCCCATCTCCAGGAGCATCGGTGGGAGGGTTCCCATGGGATAACGAGTTGTCCCGTGCAAGGCCCACGCCTGCACCGGGCTCAGGACCAGCCCCCTCAGCTCCTGGGTGAGCCTGGGAGCTGGGGGTGGGTGGTGAGTCCCCTCCTGCTCGGGATGAGCTGGGATGGAGCAGTGGGAATGCATCCCAGCCCTCGGCACACGGCGCTGAGGTCCATTTGTCAGCGCGTCCTTCGCTGTCAGGAGGATGAGGCCTCCCCTGACGAGGACGCAGCTCATTAGCGCAGGGGGCAGGAGGGGGAGGCACGAGGACCGTGGGCCCCCAACCCTGCCAAATCAGGGATGGAAGCTCCCTCTGTCCCCAGGGCTGGTCAAGGTGACCCCTGCTTGGGGAGGGGATCGGGCTGTGTGGTGTGGGGGGGACAATAGCGGGAAGATGTGCCCAGGCTGGCGTGTCCCGAATCCCTCAGCATCCCTGACACCCACAGCCCACCCCCATGCCCCCTGGCATGGGAACCCTGTGCCCTTGCCAAGGGCTCCCAGCCCTGGCTGAGCTCAGGCTGGCTTCTGTGACACCCTTGGCCAGTCTCCGTCCCTCCCCAGGCTGCAGATTTGCTTTTTAGAAACTCCTTCAATAAAATTTTGATCCCCAGAGGTTTCCAACACGTGACCTCCCCATGGGCACAGGGCAGGGGTCCCCAGAGCAGAGCTCAGAGCTGACAAACCCCCAGCTTGTCTCCCCTCATCCCCTCTCCTCAACACAAGAAGAGGGGGAAATCACTGCTCCTGGCTTCCCTCTCTGTAATGAAGGGATTAATCAGGTGAGGGGAGGAGGAAGCACCAAAGCCAGACACAAAATCTCCTTCCCTAAGGGCTTTTTTTTCTCCTTCCAAGTTATTAACACCGAACAAGATTTCTGACCTGCATTTGTCGGAAGCAGGGGATGAACCTGCAGACAGACAGACAGACAGACAGACAGACAGACAGACAGACAGACAGACAGGCAGAGCTCACCCAGGAAGGCAGAGGGGGACACGGTGCCGTTGCTCCTGGCCACCATGACACTGATGCCCGTCTCCACGAAGGGCACAGAGAAGTCCACGATCTCGGAGCGCTCCTCGTTGATGGTGAGGGAGCCAATGGCCATGTCTGCCCGCTTGTAGTACACCTGGGGAAGGGGCAGGTGGTCTCAAGATGGGCAGAGGGACAACCCACCATCTCCCCCTCCATTTCTAGCTTTTTCAACATTAAATTTAATCCTTTTGTTATTTTTTTTTTTAAATGTCAGCTTCTTAAATGAACAGTGACACAAGCACAACCAGCTGTAGGGTCATCAACGTTCAGCTGACTCCCCACCTCCTTCTCCCCTGTACGTCTTGCCCATCAGCACCATGATGTACAATGACACCTCCCTGCTCCTCATGCCAAGCTGTCCCCTGCCCGGGGGCAAGTCCCACCACAGACAACCCCCATTGTGTCTCCTCAGAGAAGCCCCAGGCCAGGCCATGCCCACCCCTACCTCACCAATCATGCCGTTCCACACCCCACGGACGATCTTGCCGTGTTTGCCGTTGGTCACCAGGTAGAGGTCATAGGAGAACTTCACCGCCTTGGCCAGCTTCTTCAGGATGTCGATGCAGAAGCCCTTGCAGCACAGCTTGGTGTAGGGATCCACGAGCCCATCACCACTGAAACCACAGCAGGAAAGAATGGGTCGCACCAACCAAAGATGCTCCGAGTACCCTGAGGACCACCCTGAGTGGTGGCCAATGTTGCTCCACGCCGGCTGCTCACCCCTGGGAGGAGTTGGTCTGCTTGCGGCAGGGCACCGTGTTGCGCACGCAGACCCCGGTGCTGGGGTCCGTGTTCTCCACGATGACAAAGGGTCTCTCCTCCAGCGTGGCCACCGTCAGGTGCCGGTTGTCAACCACGGGCTGCATGGAGGAGCCGTAGCGGGGCCACACCGGGTACTTCATGTGGATGATGCCTTTCTCCCACTTGCCCACCTGCCCCCGAAGGAGAGGACATTGTCACCTCAGGGAGGGGCTCACGCAGAGTCCAGTGTTCATCCTCCTCACACCTTCAAGACTATTTTCTCCTGCAGCATCGTTAGGCTGGAGCTCAGCCATGGTGAGCCCCATCTCAGCACTCCCTTCCCCATGCACCCACAGGGTGAGGTGTTTCCTACTGGACCCCAAGCACTGGGCTTGGCTGAGCACAAACCTGGCCAAGCTTCACCCAAATTACTTTTCAACTAGCAACCCTGCCCAGGCAGCGTGTGTCACACCCAGGCACGTGTTCCCAGAGTTGAACAGCTGCACATTTGCCTCTTTTCAGTCAAACTGCAGAAGAGAAGAAACCAGTTCTTGGCAGAGCTTTGGTGCCCAGCATTGCCTCAAAACCCCACCACACTTCCAGGGGGACCTTTGGTACCAGTCATAGGTTTTGCATGGGAAAAGCTGCTCCAAGGTAGGACCCCAGCCCATGCATGGCCCCAGGCTCGCTCTACCCAGCCACCCCCTGACACTGTGCCCATCCCAGGGCGGGGCAGAGATCCTACCATCTCCCAGAGCCGGTGTGGGTTGAGCGAGATCACCACCATGGTGGGTCTGACCAGGAAGCCACCTTCATTGAAGGAGAAGTCTCTGTGCTCCCACGTCACATTGAGAAGGTGCCTGGTGGGACACAGCAATTATGAGACTCCAGCTGTGCAGCCCAGCCCCCTATAATCTTCCTTCTCCAACTCCAGCCAGGCTCGCACAGGTCCCATGGAGACCTGTGGGGCTGAGTGCTGGGGACCAGGTCTATCCCCTGCACAAGGGGCGGGGGGGAGCTGGAGAAAGCCCTGCCTGCAAGGAGGCATCAAGAATAGCCTGCTGCAGGGCTGAGAAGGCAGAAGCTGCCACAGCAGCTCTGAGGCACCAGCTCTGCACTGCAGAGCAGAGCTCTGAACCCCCTCGAGACTCCTGAATCCCAAGTCACCGACAAACACGGGAAAAAGGCAAGGGCTGCTCTGGGGAGATGCTCCAGGAGAAACCCAGCTGAGAGGTGTGGACCATCAGCTGCAGCCCACAGCGAGTTCCTCCCCTACCCCTTCCCTGGCCACCTCCCCATTACCCCCCTTTCACACCCACCCAGGCGGGTCCCTGGCCCCTCACCGGTAGAAGCTGGTGCTGGTGGCAGGTCCAGCAGGAGCCCAGCAGTCCCGTCCCACCTCCGGGAGGTATCCATGGGCCCGGAAGAAGCTGGATGCCCCCATGGCCACGATGGCCACCCCATCCCGCACCTTCTGCCTCAGGCTCAGCTTCCAGCTCTCGGTCACCACGCTGATGAGGCCAACAGGGAAGGAGGCAGGTGGCACTTCCATGTTGCCCACCGTCAGGCTGGGCACGATCCAGACGTAGCCTGGCCCCACGAGGCCGGCTTCTTCTGCCATGGCAAAGAGGTACTCGGCCTCCTCCCGCGAGCAGTAGACGATGAGGACCTGGGCGTCGATCTGCCGCAGGATCCGCTGCGTCCGGGAGTTGCTCCTCTCCTGGCTCATCTCGAAGGTGAGCACCTCCTGCAGCTCCCAGCCAAAGTAGCTGGCGTCCGTGAAGGAGCGGATGACCTCCAGGAAGATGTTGTAGCCTGGGTAGAGGCTGGTGATGATGGTGAAGGAGCCCCAGTCGTATTCCTCCAACACCTTGAAGATCACCTGGATTTGCTGCTCGATGGAGACACCCAACTGCAGGAAAGCTGAGCTGGGCTCCTGTGGGAAGAGAAGGGGTCAGAGGCTGCTCTGGCACTGTGGTCAGTCCAGGTCTCTTGCACCCGTGCAAACCACCTTGAACTTGCCGTCATGAAGGGTTTAAAGGTGCCATGAACTGGCACAGCTCATGGGCTGGACCTCAGTCTCCAAGGAGCCTCATTTCATGCAAAGGGTCAAGCCCTGCAGCTTCTCCTGTTTCTCAACTTGCTGACCAAAAATTCCTCCAGCTTCCAAAGGATGCCAACGATTTCTCTTTAAACCAGGAGAGGGAGAGGGCAAGGGTTCTGCTGGGAACATAAATCCCACCCCAGCTCCAACTTTCTACCTGCTGCCAGAGCCGGTGCGGCTCCTTCCCTCCCACCCCACCTCCCCAACCATCTGGCCTCTCATTAGCAAACCTTAATTGATCTGATTCTGTCTTAAATGATTCAGTGAATGGCATTTGCAGAAGGTCATATGCAGGCAGCAGGGTTCTGCCACCCAGACCCCCACCACCACTGGAGCAGTTTTTCCCATGAAGCTGGTGGTCTTACTGGAGGGGTGAGCTCTGGGGAGTCCAGGCTGGGAAGAAAGAGCTGCCAGGGACCTCAGACTCATGGGAGGAGAAGGTCGAGCCCTCAGATGGGGCCCTTCACCATCCCTGAAACACCCAACACCTGGAGAACACCTCAGAAAAACACCCAGACCACAGCAACCCCATGGCTAATTTTTAGCTGTGTGGGGCTACACCTGAACCCTCTGTACTCACCCAAGATCACTGCACCCCTCAGTCCATTGCACCCACCACCACCCACCCACAATGAGCAGCAGCTGGGGTGGTCTGTGAGCATTGGTTGGTGCAGGCAAGGCTGCCAAGGAGCCATCCAGGGGGTTTAAACCCAAAAACCTCTGGGCAAACAGAGCATGAAACCCAAACCCTGAGGAGAAGCAGGGTGGGCGGTGCTGCCCAGGTGGGACCCAGTGCTGGGGCACCTCTGGTGGCCAGGATCAGCAGGACTGAGCAACCAGGAAGGGATATCCCAAATCTCTGTTCAAATCTCCTCCCCAGCCCAGCATCCTCTAGTTCCAGCTCTCCCTTGCCACCAGTGCTTCCCCACAAGTGACAATGGCAGTGTCTGATGCCAGCAAGGAACAGAGAAGCCAAGAATTCTGTTTTGGCCAGTGGTGCACCTGAGATGCCTCTGGTGGGGCAGAGAGGGAGTAGGACAGGGACATGCCAACCCTGCCACTGCCCAAGGCACCACAACCCCAGCACTCCATGGCAGGCACAGCCTGGAGGGGATGGGGAGCAGGACACCAGGGAAAGTCCCTCCACAGGGCACTGAAGTCCCCTCCCATGTCCCACCCATTGGGGACCCCTCCCTGAGGTCCTGTCCTGTGTCCCCCCACCCTGGTTGGCCACACTGGCCCATTCCTGCCCACAAGCCCAGCAGCTCCTCTCCTCTCCAATAATCCCCTATTTCTCCCACCCCATTCCTGGAAATAGCCCCCAGCAAAGGCCTCACCTTTGGGGTCAGGACCACAGCAGACCCCCCGCTGATGCTGATGATGGGGACCTGGGTCTGGGAGGAGATGAAGTCAAGGATCTGGGCCACCGCCTCCGTGCCAACGTTGTCTTCGAAGACGATGCCGTGGATCTTGTGGCTGGCGAGGATGTCACAGATCTGGGTGAGGAGGGTGCTGGGGTTGGTGTTGTTGACGATGACGGTGATGGGATGGATCTCCAGGGGCATGTCCAGGAAGCTCTGGGTGCTCAGGCGGGAGCGGATGTGGAGGGGGTAGGAAGTGCCCCCAAACACCACGGCCACGTTGACCACGGGCTCCTCGGGGCCCGGCAGCAGGAGGTGGGTGAAGGCAGCCGAGCAGCCCAGCACCAGCGACAGCAGCAGAGCGTGCGCCGGCGCTCTGCCCATGTCCACCGTCGCGGCCCTGCCGGGATGGGACACAGCTCCTCGCACCTGCACACCTGCCAGGAACCCCCCCGCACCCTCCTCACCACCACCAGGGCAGGTAGATCCCAGGAAGAGAGAGGGACCCTCCTCCTTTGAAGAGGGGCCATGGTGGAGGGATGACCACCCACCACCACCCACATCCCAGTGCCATGTCTCTTGTCTCCAGTCCTACCAACCACTACCAACTTTCCCAGCCAGTTCCCACTTCCCACCAGCACCTCAGCCCCAACCCAACCCCACCATTCCCCTCCCAGCCACATTGCCCTCCAGCCCCTCTCCCTTCTCCAAAATTCCTTATTGTCCCTTCTGCCAGAGATGAGGACAGAGACAGCAGTGGGCGGTGACAGGAGGAGCTGGCAGCTCCCTGGTGCTCTCTCCACAGCTCAAAACCACCTTCAATATTTACAGGCTTTGCCCTTGAGGGAGGGTTCAACTCTGCAACCCCCATGTGAGGATTTTGCATACCACACAAGCACAGGAGCAGCCAGTCCCCTCCCTGTCCCCTGCCACTGTCCCCTGCCTGCTGCTTCCCAAACCCCAGCCAAAGCACCTGCCTGGCCCTTCATCTCCAAGTTCCTCCCTGACACCATCCTGCAGTTTTGTCCCCTTTCTTGTCTTTACCCCCATTGCACATCCCCCTGGTGACATCACCCAGGCACCCACCACACTGCATCTTTGCCAGCTGCACCCCAAAGCCAGGGTGGGGGGGTGGGGGGGATGTTTGGAAACATCCCCCCTGCCAGGTCCCCATTTCCCCTCCAACCATGGATGCCCAGCACCCATGCGGGGTGACAGTCCCCAGGGGGGCACATGTTGCTGCCCACAGCGATGCACCCCCACACTGGAGCTCACCCCCTCCTTAGAACCAACCAAGCAAACCAACCCGTGGTGAGACCCACAGCAGAGAGTATCCGAGCTCCTCTGAGCCCTTCCAAGCCCCACTGCCCCCAGGGCCATCGTCCTGGTGCCTTGCTGGGCAGGGGGAGGGGGACAAGCCACCCTCTGCGGTGGCACCGTCCACGCGCTGGAGTCACTCCATGCAGCAAGATGCCAGCTGGTGCTTAGAAATGTCACTTGCAATTAAAAGCTGCTGTTGCTTAACATGTCCTCGGCACAGCCACAGGATCCCCTTGCCAAGTCCTGAGCAGTTTGGGGTTCTGGGCTGTGCTGGGGACCCACCCCCCAGCCCCCCCCGTGCCGCAGTGACGGACAAGCCCCCGGCGCGCTGGGCAGGCACCGCAGGCGTTGGACTGAAAACACGGGAAATGAACCCAACAGCTGCTCTGCTGGGCACCCTGCAAGAGCTGCGTGGTGCAGAGTTGGGCACCAGGGCTGTCCCCTCCAGAAAGATGGGGGACGTGAGCCCTACATCTCCCCACCTACACCCCATGGTCGCCAGGAAGGCTCCAGCACCTGGGCGGGCACCACCAGTCCCCAGGCAGCACCTTGCTGGTCTAGATGGGTTTTGTCAGGGGATCATCCAGCACCCACCACCATCCAGGGGAGGTCACCCTGCCTGGCTGCATCCCCCTCCCCACCCGCCCTACATTGCAGCCAGCCAAGCCCCAGGAGCCACAAGGCCATGCTGATGGCCAGAGGAGGTGGCAGGTGAGTCACACCACACTGGCAGTGTCCCCCGCTCCGGCACGGCCAGCCCAGCACTGCCCAGCCCGGCCTGCCTGCTCCTGCCTGCGAATTCCCAAGTATTTTTAGTCCCATGATAAATAATTCATCGGAGCCCAGCATCAGCTACCCGAGCAGAGAGGAAGGGGAACAACACGCCACCCAAAACAAACAGAGCAGCTCTCCCAGCAGCTCTGCCCGTCTGAGCCCTGCTCAAGGACATTTAAATATACTCAGGTTTGTTTGTGCCAGCCTGGGCAACTCACCCATCCTGGGCCCTCATTCTCCTCTACCTCATCCCAGCTCTTCTCTGTTCTTGGAAGCCTCCTCTAGCGCCGAGCAACCCAAGCACAGGGCAGCAAAACCCTCAGGTAACACCAAGTGCTGCCTCCAAACGGGCTGCTCAGCTCCCAGCTGCAACTGGGAGCCGGTTGTCACAAACTGGTTTCCCTCTGGGCCGAGCAGCAGGTGGGAAGCATCCTCATCCTCTGTGGGGTGATGGTCATGGCAGAGAGGAGGTGGGCACAGGCACACCATGTTGGTCAGTCACTGCTGAGACAACCAGGGGAATGACTTCCCATCCTTCCCAGGAATCTGGTGCCATCAGCAGGAGCCAAGCCGCTCTCTGCAAGGGCTGCGGAGGAGGAGGGAGGAGGAGGAGGATGGCAGGGAGGAGGATGGAGGGGGTCAGGGCCAGGCAGCCCAGGGCTGCCAGGGACTCCATGCACGGGTCGAAACCAGGGCTGCTCCAAAATGGCTGGGTTTGGGAAGCAGAAGCAGCCAGCTCCTCCAGCCCAGCTGACTCCGTGCTCTCCCAGCCTGTTTTTTCCAGTAGCGAGCTAGGGGGGTGCAGGAAAATACTGGGGGTTTGGGGAATGAGGATAGGGAAGGAAAATTGCAGGAAACTGGTGGAGGCAGAGGAGGAACTGAGTCCATCCCTGTGCTACTGCCAGAGCAGCTTCTGGGCTCAGCACAACACAGCAAAGCCCCCTCGGACTTAAAAAAAAAATAAATAAATCCACGTTTTTCAACCTCCTGTGGCAAGCACTGCAGGACTGATCCTTTAGGAAAAGGCATTCCCAAAAAGGAGGTTTTCCAGCTGGGCAATGGGCTGGTGGCTGGAGAAGGAGGAAGGTGGCCCTGACTGGAAGACTGGACAGGGTGATGCCACCTCCCAGCAGCCTCCCTGGGGACCAGAGGACACCCACAGAGCTGCTCAGGGGCTTTGGGACCTGGTTTTGTGCTGCTTTGGGGAGGTTTTGAGCAGGTTATGCCCCTTCCTAGGCACAGCTTCACCTGATAAACCAAACACTCACAGAAACCTCCTGCTAAAGCACCAACTGAGCTCTTACTTCCCTCTATCTCCTGAAATGTCATTTTAATGCAACAGGGAAAGTTTGCTCCTAATTTTAAACCTCCTTTTTGCCCTCTCTCCATCCTTCCCTCCCCTGCTCCAGGAGGGGGAGAGCTCATGCAGATATTTTGACCTCAGGAAAGGGAGAAATAAAATCCCAAAATATTGCTCAAGAAAGAGAAACCTCATTGCCAGAAAAAAACCCCAAAACCTCCAAGCCCCTCCAGGGAAGGGGGGACCACAGCTGCTGGATGGGAAGGACAAAAAGGATCCAAACCTGGCAGGGAGGAGGGGGGGGCACTGGGGAAAGCACTGGGTTGTAGCAGGGCTTGTCATTTCCCAGGTGGGGGTGACCCCTGTGGAGCAAGAAGACCCCAACAGAGCCCCCCCACAAGGAGGGAAAGCAGCAAAGCCTCCCCAGAGCCAACTTGTCACCCCCCCTGTCCCCATACAGGAGGGGGGACAGGAGGGTGAAGCGCCCGTAGCCCCCGGCAAGCACCGTCTCCTTTCAACCTTCAACTGCCACAACCCAGAATCACCCTCTTCTTCCTCATCCCCTTCCTCTTCCTCGCCCGCACCTCCGACAGCAACAGTTGCGGGCCGGGGGCCGCGGCGATGGCCCCGCACGCGCGCGCACCGAAACGCAGCTTAAAAAGGTCGAATATGGATTAACCGAAAAAAAAACAAAACAAACCCCAACAAACAACGACCAACCTGCCAAGTGTCCTGTCTGCCGCTGGGTTACGCAAGGTGGCGGGGAGAGGGGAACACACACAGGGGCTGGTGACATCCAGGAACGTCTCCCCTCTTTCTCTCTGTCTCCCACCCCCTCAAAAGCCCCCAGGCGCAGCGCCCACAACGAAGGCTCCTTCCCATCCCCGAGGCGGGACGGGCAGCGGGAGCTCTCGGGGATGCTGGGGCTTAGGGAAATGACCAAGACAACCCCCCCACCTCAAAAAAAAAAATACCCCCTCCCCATGTGTAAAAGTTC